TCGAACCACTCGCGGGCGCGCGCCCCGCCGGTCAAGTCCGCGCGCCTCGCGCCCCACGTGCTCGCTGGCAGCGACGCGTTGCCAAATTCGCAGGGCGCCGCGAACGCGCGCCCCAGTCGCGCGCCGACCCGGCGCGGAGCGGCGCGCCCCCGGCCCCTCCTGCGAGAGAGTCTGGGCGGGGGCACCTTGCGCGCCCGCTCTAGGATCTAGCCGCGCGCCCGCCCCGCGGCGCCCGAAGCTCCGCGCGCTCCGGGATCGCCAGCTCAGCCGGAAGCCCAAGTCAACGATTGCAGAATTTCATTGTTCCGATGACCAGCGAGCGCCGCTGGCCCGCCCGTCGACGACCCCCCGACAGACCCAGGAGGCAGGAGGCCCAGAAGGGACCGGCGGCAGTGGAAACATCTCCCCGGGGACGACGTCGCCCACGACGACGCACTCGGCCAGTTCAGAGTCGCCGCAGACCCGCTCGTCGGCCTCAGCCTGCGGCAGCTCTCTGTTATTATGTCCCTCTGCGGCGCCAGCCCTACCCTCCTTGCCCTCGAATTATTCTAGGAACTCTCAGACCCTCTGTCGCTGTTCCTCGACCTCCGCGTCCTCCGCAGCGTTGGCTCTCATGACCAAGGGCAACTGCGTCGGTCAAGCCCTGCAGCCCAGAGAAATTCTTGGCATTCTCGAAGTTTTGCGAGGCTGATCTTGCATGCGTCGGCTATCGCCCGCGATTGCAGGCACAGGGGCCAAGCGAAAACGAAGGAACCCAAGTGCAATGGATCATATGGCTCAACATGCCGCGCGGTGTTTCTGATGGTCTTGAACTCGACGTAGACCCTGTCTGTGATCGACATATTCCTGTTGTGCGCCAAATTCTCCTAACTCCCCAGCGGCGCCCGCCCGCCCCTCCGCGCGGGCGAAGAAGCAGGCGGCAGAAGGCGGCGCGTCCAGAATGTCCGCCCGACAGCGGGCGCCAGGACATCTCGGCCACGACCCCCCGGCACGCCTTGAAGCGTCGCCTTTGAGCATCGTGGCCGGCTGCCAGGGTTCGCGCATCACCACCGTCTAAACTGCCCTTGCCGCCGCCGTTGAAATGTCCTTGGAGTTCATTCGGGCCGCCGTCGCCGCGGGGGGCACTGGTCCGCGCTGCGGCCTTACCCTCGTCCGCGACCCCCCGCGCCGCGGCCGTTCCCTGCTGGCTGCGCCACCGTGCCCAAGGCAACGTCGAAGCGGGCAGGGGGAGGGGGCTGAGCGGGAGGCGGATGCGGTGGCGGGACGGCAACCTTCTCTGCAGCAGCTGCGGCCTGGGCAAGCGCCGCCGCCTCGATGTCGATCAGCGCATCGTTCGGCCTTTCCCGTCCGCTCGGCGAAGCGCAGCTGGTGACAAGAGCGACGTCCTTCGCGAGAGATTCGGCCTGTGCGAAAGCCTCCCTAGCTTCGGTGATCAGACGCTTGAATTCCCTCGTGCTCTTCTCGGGCACTCCCTGAAGCGGCGCGCTGCGTGCTGGCAACCAAGAGGAGGCCGACCTTCACGCATTGCCCGCTTTCGTAGCGGACCCTCACGACAAACCTAGCACACTTTCAGCGTACAAGTGGCCGTCTGGCAGCAAGATCATCATGATCCCTCGCAACGCTGTTGGCCACAGCACATTCCTCTCGTGGTACACTGAAGCATTCTCGTGCCAAGCCCAATGCAGTTCCCCCCGCCGAAGGCAACTCCAGAACGCCCTGTCCGCCCCGCCGGCTTGAATGATCGCCATCACGCTGACAAGATCGGACGGCCGTGAGCGTCGAGATCACCAAGCTCAAGATAGACGATGCGTTTTTCTGGCCGCACACTTTCAGAGCACGGGTCCCTTCCTCCACGATCAGGGGGAAGCTCGGCACACCGCACGTGCAGTTCGCACGGCGGACGCGGCGGGCACTCAGGGCAAGAATGGCTGGCGCCAGGGCAGACGGGAGTGGGCACTGGAGCGAGGAGTGGCCGCACCGCCGCTTCGAGAAATGCAACAACGATTGCCCAGGTGCTGGCAGCCACTCCGGGATTCATCCCACGCTGAACTTGAGCAGAAGTACTTGCGGAACAGAAGCGAGGCAACATGACGAGACAGGGCCCATTCAAAATTGCGCACGCGCAAACATCATCTTCATCCTCTGTATACTGCCACTCTCCTTCATTGTTTCTTCTTACTGGACCTCCTCCCCCCCCTCCTCCCCTTCGTTCTGCTCCACTCCCTCTTTCGCACGTTTCATGTACGAATCCCCCTCTCATCTACCTCCCAGCTTTCCTTCTGCAACGTGAATCGGGCCCAGGTCGAGGACCGCCCAAATCAGAAGGACAAGAAATGGAAGCAGGTCAACAAGAAGGCGAAGAAGTTCGACAGTCGCCCCGTGGTCAGCAACGCCTCAAACGAGAAGGGCGAGCACCAATTGCCAACAGGGCAACTGGATGCCTACGTCCATGGAGCAGCTGGTTGAATTTCTCAGTCAGTATTTGGACGACCTACGCTAAAACGATGACACGCGCCACAAGCGCGAGCGCGCAACCCAGGCAAAGTAGGGGCATAGCAGGGTGCCAGCGTGTGCCTCAAAGTGGGCGGTCCACTCTGACGCGCATCCTGTGACGACGTATGGCTCCCAAGCTCGGTTTTCCGACAGACGACATTTTTTTGATCAAGGGACGTCTCAAATATTGGGCAACCGTAGATTCCCCTTGGCCGATGGCCGGGCCGATGGCCGAAGTGGTTGGCACGGGAAGCCCAAAGCGGCGAAACGCACCCACCCACACATGCGCGGGCCCCGCCGATGATCTGCAACGCGTGCGCCGGCAGTCCGAGGCAGCGCCGGTGCGCACACCGAGCTGAAGCAGAGTGGGCTCAGTGGCCAGGAGCTCCTAGCTGCAGTCGTCGCGGCGCAGATGGTTCATTTCCGTGCCGCCTCCTCCGTCCTCCGCCTCTCGGGGATCTTCTGGCCTGGGTCAATCCAGACCCGGGTCAGTCGGGCCATGCAGGATCCTGCAGGATCCTGCACCCAAACCCGGGTCAATTTGAAGGGTCCTGCAAAATCCTGCAGGATCCTGCGCCCAAACCCTGGTCAATGCGACCCTGGCCCTGCAGGATCCTGCAGGACCTGGCGCTCTGGCTGACCCCCGCTTGCATTGACCCCCGTCTCCTGAGCCCCGGGCCTCCCTCCCGCTGACAACTCCTGGGCGTACCTTGCGCCCCAGGAGCCCGCTCATGGGACCTGGCTGCATTGCAGAGTGCGTGCAGGCAGACGGCCGCGCCCGCTGCGTGGTCAGCTCTGGTCGTCTAGCGTCTCTGGCTGTGTACCCGTAGAGTTTCCAGAGAAGTCCTCCTCCTCCTCCTCCCTCCTCCTCCTCCTCCTCCTCCTCCTCCTCCTCCTCCTCCTCCTCCTCCTCCTCCTCCTCCTCCTCCTCCCCCTCCTCGTCCTCCTCCTCCTCCTCCTCCTCCTCCTCCTCCTCCTCCTCCTCCTCCTCCTCCGTCGTCTCCTCCATCGCCTCTCTTCCACTCCCCGTTCTCGTCGTCAGCTTGCAGAAAATCGTCGTCGTCCTGCTCGTCCACCCCCTCGAACTCCTACAGACCTGCCTGTGCGATTCTCCGCCGGCTACCGCCTTCCGCCTCCTTCTGATCTGGCACTTCTCCTCCGACTCCGCCTTTTCCTTCTGCTCAACCTCCTCCGCCACGACAATATCTCGTTCCTTCTGCTGATCCGCCCCCTCGTCCCCCACCTGCACAGCGCATTATGGTTCCTTGTTTTTCTCTTACTGCACCTCCTCACCCTCCTCCTCTTCCTTCTCCTCCTCTTTCGCGTTCCCCTTCCCCTTATCATCCCTCCTCATCCACGTCCATGCCCTGCTTCCACCTCCTCCTCATCCTTCTCGTTTCCACCATCACAATGCTCACCATCACCACCATCATCAGCAGCATCATCATCACCATCATCATTATTATCACCATCATCATCATCATCATCATCATCATCATCATCATCATCATCATCATCATCATCATCCGCATCATCATCATCATCATCATCATCATCATCATCATCATCAGCATCATCATCATAATCATAATCATCATCAGCATCATCATCACCGTCATCAGCATCATCCTCATCATCATCATCATCACCATCACCATCAGCATCATCCTCATCATCACCATCATAATCATCATCGCCGTCATCATCAGCATCAGCATCAGCATCAGCATCATCAGCACCAGCATCACCAACATCAGCAACACCATCAGCATCATCACAAGCGTCATAGCATTGACATCATCAGAAGCATCATCATCGCCAACATCACCAACACCATCACCATCACCATCACCATCGCCAGCACCATCACAATCAACACCGTCATCATCACCATCATCATCACCAGAATCGTCATAATCGGCATCATCATCAACACTAGCATCATCAGCATCACCATCATATCAACATCAGCATCAGCATCACAATCATCATAGTCAGCATCAGTATCAGCATAATCCGCATAATCAGCATCATCAGCATCAGCATCAACATCAGCATCAGCAGCATCATCAGCAGCATCATCACGGGCATCATCGTTCCAATAATCACCACACCACAACCAGCACCATCATCACCGCTGTCGCCATCGCCCTCGCCGTCTCCGTCGACGCCGTCGCCGCCATCGCCGTCGCCCGTCGCCCTCGCCGCCGCCATCGTCATCGTCGTCGTCGTTGCCGAAGCCGCCGCATCCATCGCCGCCGCCGCCGCCGTCGCCGTCGCCCTCGCCGTCGCCGCCGCCATCGTCGTCGGCGTCGCCGCCGCCGTCGACGCAACCGCCGCCGTCGCCCTCGCCGCCGCCGCCGCCGCCGTCGCCGCAACCGCCGCCGTCGCCGTCGCCGCCGCCGCCGCAGCCGTCGCCCGTCGCCCTCGCCGCCGCCGCCGCCATCGTCGTCTTCATCGTCGTCGTCGTCTTCATCGTCGTCGTCGTCGTCCTCATCCCAACGCGCCTCCCCGAGGCCCTCCGCCTCGGAGAGCGTCTTGTCCGCGTCCCAGGTCCACGCCTCGGGGGAGACTCCGCGCGACGCGCGCTGCCAGAGCTGCCCTCCGCCTCCTTCTTTTTTGCGTTTGCCAGACCCTAGCCGACGGAGATCGTAGCTTCACGATTGGTGCGACACGAGACAGTCGCTTCAGGCGAGATGGCCTCGGCACGGCTGCAAGCAAGTGCTGGAGCAGGAATGGCATGTAAGACCTCCTCCTCTTCCTCATCCTCATCCACATCGTCCTTCTCTTCCTCCTTCTCTGCTCTCTTCGCTCATCCACTTCCTCCCTCATCCCGAATCCTTAGAATCCTGCTCTTGCGGCCTCCAGGCCATCCTACTCCTGCTCATCATTGCTCTGCTCCCGCATCCCGCCTATCATTCTCCCCTGCTCCTCCTCAATGCTGCTACTTCTCCCAGCCGTTCCCCCCATACTTCCTCATTTTCCTCCTCCTCCTTCGATCCTGCACGATTTCTTCTACTCCCCATCCTCCCTATCCTCCGCCTCCCCCCTCCCATATCCCTCCTGCTAATATTGCTCTTCCTGCTTCTCCCCCACCTCCTCCTCCTCCTCCTCCTCCTCCTCCTCCTCCTCCTCCTCCTCCTCCTCCTCCTCCTCCTCCCCCTCTTCCTCTTCCTCCTCCTCCTTCTCCTCCTCCTCCTGCCCTTCCCCTTCCTCTGTCATTCCTCCCCCCTGTGTCCCCTTCTTCCCACGACGAACACCACACCACGGATGGGAGGAAGAGCAACAGCAGCGCTGGGCGGAGGAGCAGGGTACAAGGGATGTGGCCGAAGAACAAGCAAAGGTCGGTCCCGCGCAGGAGGCGGTGGAATCACTATCCGTTACGATCGTAACAGTGTGCCTCGTAATATCGAATTCTGGGATAGTCGTATTCGTAAGCATGTGGTTTATGATGTCCATGTTGTTCTTAATGTACTTGCATGGTGTCTAGCATCGGCCTCATGTTGAGCTTCGGGGTGGGGGACCTCCCCGTCGACATAGCGTGTAGACAGTGTCCGATAAGGGATCTGCGTAGCAACAGGATGTGTATGATACGGGCCGGCCAGCCGAGGGGAGGAAACTGGGCGGAGTGCGCGCGGGCCCTTGTTTTGACTCGTGCGCAGAAGGCTGCGCATAAACACATATAGTTACACATACATTTATATATGCATGTATCTACACATATATATACATATATATATATATATATATGTGTGTATGTGTGTATATAAATATATATCGTAAAAGGTATGAGACCTTTATGGCGCCGCCAACCCTCTGTTGGAGGGAACATGCGGCGCGAAAAAGGACGCGGGGGGAGCCTAGCTAATGACTATTTTGTCAGCTTGCCGACGAAGACGACGCCGCCGCCGACGACGACGACCACGACGACCACGACCACGACGGCGACAGCGACGACGACGACGACGACGACGACGACGACCACGACGACGGCGGGATGATGGCGGCGGCGGCGTCGACGACGACGACGACAATGGCCCGAGATCTTATCGAGCTCCCAGCTACTTAAGATGACCCCAGCCCTCCCCACGGCAAAACGAACGGTGGAGAAGGAAGGTAGGGAGGGATGGGGGGCGGAAGGCGACCGGCGGGTGCAACCTCTGGCTCCGACCCCCTTCCCAGGTGCCGGCAGGTCCAGGATGGGGTAGAAGGCAAGGCTCAGCGGGTTGTCTCGCAGGTCGAGGTGCTCGAGTCTACAGCAGGGGGAACGCGGGGAGGAAGGTGAATAGTAGGCGGAAGGGAACGATGGCGAGGGCGAGGGGCGGGAGCGCTAAAGATGATGATGCTGCTGCTGCTGATGATGATGATGATTATGCTGATGATGAGGAGGATGAGGTAACGATGAGGGTGATGATGATGCTGATGCTAATGCGGATGCCGGTGATGATGGTGATTATGCTGAAAATTATGATGATGCCGATAATGATGGTGATGGTGATGATCAGGATGCTGATGATGATGCTGACTGTGATGATGACGATGATGATGACGAAGATGATGATGATGATGCTGATGATGATGCTGCTGCTGCTGCTGATGGTGATGATGATGATGATGATGATGATGATGCTTGATATTATGATTGAGATGATGATGGTGATACTGATGATGATGCGGATGATGGTGACGATGGTGATGCTGCTGCTGCTGCTGCTGCTGCTGCTGATGATGATGATGATGATGATGATGATGATGATGATGATGATGATGATGATGATGATGGGTGATGATGGGTGACGCTGGTGGTAATGATGACGGTGGTGATGCTGATTGTGCTGATGATGGTGGTGATGGCGATGACGACGATGATGATGTCGGTGATGCTGGCTACGATCTAGGGGATGACGAGGATGAAGGTGGTGATGACGATGACGATGTCGATGGTTACGATGATGACCGTAGTGATGGAGATGAGGATGATGCTGATGGTGAGGAGAAGAACGAGGGAAGGGGGGACGATGAAGGAAAGGGGGATGGGGAGGAGGAGGTAGAAGACGATGCACAGGAAGGGGTGAGGGGGAGGGGGTGGAGAAGGAGGAGGAGGAGGAGGAGAAGGAGGAGGAGAAGGAGGAGAATGAGCAGGTGGAGGAGGGGGTGGAGGAGGGAGGAGGAGGAGGCAGGAGGAGGAGGAGGAGGAGGAGGAGAAGGAGGAAGGAGAGGGAGGAGGAGGAGGAGGAGGAGGAGGAGGAGGAGGAGGAGGAGGAGGAGGAGGAGGAGGAGGAGAAGAAGAAGAAGAAGAAGAAGAAGAAGAGAGCGGGGCGACAAAGGAGGAGTTCCAAAGCCAGGGAGCACGCGAGCCGCTCCGCTCTTCGCCCTCCGCCCATGTCGCCGAGCGGCGGCCGAGGTAGGCGTGGTGGCGGCCGCGCTCCAGAGGCTCTCAAAAAGGGCGGGGCCCGCAGCCGCCCGCTCTGCTGGGCACGGGTCGCTGGGCGGGGCGCCCTTAGACCCTCCCGCCGAGGCTGACTGCTGTTCGGCCTTCAGCAGAAGCCCGCCCTTCTCGAACTCCAACTTCTCCTCCGCCGCCTTCTCCGCGACGTTCGCCTCCGCCTTCCCGATGTGCCACTGGACCCGCTCGGCGTCCGTGAGTCCACCGGGCGGCGGCCCGGAGCCGCAGCGCGGCGCCACTGGGCGGCCGCCCGCCAGCCAGGCCGCCAGCCGAGCTGCCTGCAGCCTTCGCGGGGCCAGCGCCGCTCCGCCCCGGGCCGGCGGCGGAGCCCCCGCCAGAAAGGCCCATCACCGCCCACTCCACGGCCATGGAGGACCGGGAGGTCGTTAGCAGAGGCGTCGTCCAGCTCCATCTTCTCCTCCGCGTCGTCGCCCAGGGCAGCGGGGGACGCCGCGTCTCCTCCATGGCGTGCTGCACCAGGCGCAGGCCGACGACGGAGTCCCGCCGCCGAAGCCCATGGCCGCCGCCCTGGGCCTCCACCACCATGAGGTTCACGTCGTCCTTCGCGGTGCCGTCGACGAGCGCCATCTCGGCCGCGGCGCCTTGCGCGCCATAGCCCGCGGCATCGCCGCCACGGCCGCCTCGCCCTCGCCCGGCGGCTCTGCGGCAGGCCTCCTGAGGCCCGCCGCCGCGCGCAGCAGGCCCTCAACGGCTCGGAACGAGAGAGCCGCTCGCTGCTAGCCCCGCCGCGGGTGCTGCCAGAAGTGCCCCTGGCCCAAGGTGCCCCCAGGATTTCAAATAGGAGGCCCCCACGGCCTCCAAAGCAACCCTCACGAGGCCGGGAGGGCCCCAGGGGTTCCCAAGTGGAGCGCCAAGCTCGGGGGGCCTCTGGGGCCAGGGGCACAGTCAATAACCCCCGACCGCCGCCGCATGCACCGCCAGGAGGGCACCCTGGGCCGCCTCTTCCGCGTCGCGCCTGCGGCGTGAGCGTGCCTGGCATCGGCCTCGCGGCGAGCGCGCCCAGGGGCGCGTCCCGGCGGCGCGGGGCTCGAGCCCACTTTAGCCAACATGGCTACAGGGGCGACGGGGGGAGGAGACGGATAGGGGAGGAGGGAGGAGGAGGAGGAGGAGGAGAGGAGAGGAGAAGAGAAGAGAAGAGAAGAGAAGAGAAGAGAAGAGAAGAGAAGAGAAGAGAAGAGAAGAGAAGAGAAGAGAAGAGAAGAGAAGAGAAGAGAAGAGAACAGAGAAGAGAAGAGAAGAGAAGAGAAGAGAAAAAATAGGGGACGAGGAGAAGGAGAAAGTCGAGGACGACGGGGTGAGAGAAACATATCACAAGTAGGATAGTGAGAGGAGAAAACGAGGATGGGGATCATGAGGTCAAAGGAAATGGGTTTCGAGGAGCGGGAGAAGGTGGTAGAATGAGAAGACGGCGAGAAACGACGCTGGCTGCGAAAACATACTGTTGGACCCTGCGCTCCCATGAGAAAGCAGCCAAACTGTAAACTACGACGATCGATTTGGCATGATGAGTACAACGAGGCGCGGGGCCAGTCACTCCAAAACATATTGACTTCAATGCTGGGAATCTGTGTGTATGAGAGCACATGGGAAACCAGCCAACACTCAACACAATGCTGCGATCTACGCGCTCTGTGGCTACGTGTCTGGCGCTCTGCTTCGTCAGCGGCGACGCCCGAGAGCTGCCATCCTCCACATCGCTGCGTCGCGTGCCCGTGCGGGCGCGGGGCGCTGGCAGAAGTGACCGCCGCATCCCGCGAGGACAATGGCACCAACCGCCAGCCTCCAGGGTCCGCGGATGAGGCTGGGTCTGCGGAAACCCCGAGGGGCACGGAGTGCACGAGCTCACGGACTTGCCGAAGGCACGCAGGAGCAAATCGCTGCATTCCTGCGCCGATCGTCAATGCTCTCCGCTTTGGAGCCGTGGCGCTGGCCTCCGATGGGGCAAACTTCGGAATGCATCGGGCTGAACGTCGAACCCCAGGCCGCCAGGGCACACCCGGGCTCGCAGCTGCTCCGGGCCCTCCGTGTGCAACGAGGCGC